GCGCACAGACCTCCAGCCACAGAGCCCGCAGGTCAGCGGGGAAGCGGAGCCACAGCCCGGGGCTGAAGACCGGGACAGCGAGCGCCCCGACCAAAAAGGGCCTGGCTGGAAGGGACGACGGCGACCTCTCTCAGGAGCTGGGAGTCATGTGAGGTGCTAAAAGGCACCTCAAGAAGCGAAGCAAACCCCCAAATTCATTCCCAGCAGAAACCACGCTCCGCTGGTGGAATAGAGATCCGGGCGGCGCCACTGCGGGGAGCTGTGCGGGGACCGCGGGGCACAGCCCAGGAGGCCTGTGCCTGGACCGCGGAGGGACAGGGACAGCACAAAAGGGGGAAATGGAACCGGAAACCATTCGTCCACTTGCACTTTCCCATCAGTATCCAAGGCCGCCGCCCAGGCTGGGAGTCTGGGTCCGCCCCCAGCTCCCGTCCCCCCCGCACCGCCCGGTCTCCCGTCCTCTCCCCGCCCCCGCCGGTCTCCGGTCTCCGGTCTCCCGTCCTCCCGGTCTCCTTTCTCCCAGCCTCGGTCTGGAACGCTGCTGCACCTGCGCAGGCTGGAGTTCACGTCCCCACCCTCGGAGTGCCACCAGCAGAGCGGGGTGCACTGGCCACGCCTGTCATCCCAGCCACTGGGGCGCAGCTCCCCCAGCAGGATGCTCGCTCTGAGGCCGCTCTGCGTGGAGGGGAAGGGACCCAGTTGGCCCAGGTCTCCATGAGCTTGAGAGGCGCTGGGCTGTGCAGGGTGACAGGCGGTTCTCGTCTCCGTAGGTGAACTCGGCTGTTTTCAGGGAGGCTCCCAGAGTGGGGACCACCGTGACGGTCCCAGACCTCTGGCTTACTTTCCTCAGGGCCCATTCCACGGGGAGACTCCAGTCCGCTTCCTGGGAAGTACCCTGGGACGACAGTGTCAAGTCCGTGCGCCCCCTCTGCGCCCAGGGAGGTCCTCCTCTTCTGGCGTTCTCCAGTCTTGCTTCCTCCCTGGGCCGGGGCTCTCCCCACCCGCGGGAAGCGGGCGGAGAAGGGCAGGAGGCTGGGACCCGCGTTGGGGTCGGCCTGCTGCGGGCGGAGGGCCGCTGCCCGCCTCTGGCCCGAGGAGAGGGCTCTGGGCTCCACTGTAGCCAAGGGGAGGCGCTGCCTGGCTCCGTCCGCTGCGCGGGTGCTGCGTCCCCCAACATGCGGGCCGGCAGGGACCTCCTGGTCTCCGACCTGAGACGTGCATCTGGAGACCCGTTTGTGGCTCTCCCGGCCCCTCGCGTCGGCTCGATTCCTGCTTCGTGCTCCCGTCTGCAAACTCTCCTGGCCCTCCCTTGGAAATACCAGGCCGGCACCCAGGAGTGGTTTCGTTTTTCTTTTATTTTTTAAAAAAGCCCCTAAATTCTATGGCTTCAAGGAAGCGTCAGAGAAACGTAAATGCCATTTCTGTACACTTTGTAAAGCAAGTACTACTCTCCACCACCGCTGGGGAGGCCCCGGCGCCTCCGCCCACCCCCGCAGCCTCCAGGCGCCCCCACCACATCCTGGTGTGGGGCGGGGGCTTTAAGGCGTGGTCTCCCGCGGCGGTGCCCCTGCAGAGGCCGGGAGACCAGGAGCCGCAGCCGGCAGGCAGCAGGAGCCCCGCAGCCCCTGCGCCAGAGTGGGGACAGAGGCCGCACACCCTCGGGGTCCTAGGCGCCTGGGCACAACCTCCGGGAGCACGTGCGCCCACCCGGTGCAGGCCGGGCTGGAAAAGGCTGCCGCGCCCTGGCGCCAGAGCTTTGGTGCAGCATTTTGGTTGGGGGGCTGGCTTCAGCTGCAGCCCCGCCCCCACCTTCCCCTTTGGTTTGGGGGAGGCCCGGGGGGGGGGCCTCACCCAGACAGCAACGCCTGGGCCCCCTCCTAGGTGGCCTGACAAGATGACCCAAAGTGCCCATCCCAGGCTGGGCCTGCCCCCCCTCGAGAAAACGGGCTTTGGATCGAGGGAGACAAGCTGGGCTTTATGAGTGGCCTGGGGGCCTCCAGGGTCACGCGACTCATCACCACGGAGACGGGAAGGGCTGGGGCAGGGCAGGCCTCTGCTCCTTTTTCCTTGTTTCCTTGTTTTAAATAGTTAATGCTCTCGAAGGGGAGGACTAGACACAGCTGTAGACATTTCGGCCGAAGTCTTAAGTGAAGGAAGTGACCCCACGTCCTGGGGGTGGTGTCTGCGGTCCACGCGCCCCGCAGTCTGCCTTGGCTTTCGGTGGGGCTCTGGCCCCAGACACCGTGGAGAGCCGCGGGCCTCCTGGACAAGCTCAGCCAGAGGCTGCGCGCAGTAGGTGCAGGCGCTGCAGGCACCCGGTCACTTGTGTCGCTGCAGAGATTTTCTCTTCCTCCTCTTGAAGAAACAGCAGCACCTGTGCGACAACACGAACGAGGGAGGGAGGTACCAGGCTGGCAGTCCATACACACTCTGCCCAGGTGCCCCCTCCCTAGAGATCCGCCCCAAAGCTCACTTGGTATCATCTGTCACTTCCACCTCAGCAGGGGCTGTGATTGGGGCATTGGAGTGACCGGCTGTGGGGTCATCTGCATTCAGCTCTCCATTGGTGGAGTTCAGCGCCTGGGTGGGCGGGGGCAGTGGGGGAGTCATGCCAGACGCCTGGCACCTCCCTGGGATGTAGGGGGCCCCGGGCCACCCTCACCTGGTTTTTGTTGTGTGGCTGGGCTTTGTCCCGGTGCTGCGGCTGGGTAGGCAGGTCGGTGTGGACGGTGCCAATGGGTGTTGGCTGCGGGAGCGGGTGTCAGGATAGCCCGGGAGGCCCGACTCTGACGCCCTAGGATGGGGTTCTGACCCACTACCCCTGCACACAGGTGTACCCCAGCGCAAAGGGCCGAAGCCCCCCTCCTGCAGGGGGCTTCACAGCCCACTGCCCAGCATCACCTACTAGGGACTTCCTGGCCGGCCACCCACCTCACCTACTAGGGACTCTCTGGCCCACTGCCCAGTGTCACCTACCAGGGGCTTGCCGGCCCAGTCGTACTCGTAGTCGAACACGAAGCCGCTGCGGTCGAAGAGGTCGGAGAAGAGCTTACGCAGGTAGTCATAATCGGGCTTCTCAAAGAAGTCCAGGCGCCGCACGTAGCGCAGGTACGTGGCCATCTCCTCTGCAGGGAGAGGACACCAGCTGGGAATGAAGGAGAGGGCGGGGACAGGGGCAGGACGGGGGCTGGTGGAGGTGCGGCAGGAGCGGGCCTCTCACCTGGAAAGCTCTCGCACAGCACCTCGATGGGTGTGGCCCTCTTGGTGTCCCCGATCTTCTGGTACCGCTCCTTGAGCGTGTCGGCCTGCGGGTCCCACGGTCAGTGACCACGCCCCTCCGCACCCACGCCCCTCCCCTCCCCTCCCCCGACCCGCACCGCCCACCTACCTTGAGCCCCTGCCAGGGCAGGCTGCCGCGCAGGAAGTACATGAACATGTGGCCCAGCGCCTCCAGGTCGTCGCGGCGGCTCTGCTCTGCGGGGGACAGCAGGCTCAGCGCGGCCCGCGCGCCCGCCCCCCGCCCGCGCGCGCAGCTCACCCTTGCCCAGGTGCGTGTTGATGCTCATGTAGCGCGCCGTGCCCGTCAGGCTCTTGTGCTCGCGGTACGGGATGTGCTTCTTGGTCTCGGGGTCGATGTACTCCTTGGCCAGCCCGAAGTCGATGATGTGGATGACGTGCTGCCGCTTGGTCCCCGGGCGCCCCACCAGGAAGTTCTCGGGCTTCACGTCCCGGTAGATGAGGCTCTTGGTGTGCACGTACTCCATGCGCGTGATCTGCGGGGGCCGAGCCTCAGCGCGGGCCCCGGCCCCGCCCCCCCCGCCGCCCGGCCCGCCCCCGCACCAGCTGGATGGCGATCATGAGCACCGTCTTGAGCGTGAAGGTGCGGTCGCACAGGTCGAACAGGTCCTCCAGGCTGGGCCCCAGCAGCTCCAGCACCATGGCGTTGTACTTCCCGCACGGGCCGAAGTAGTAGACCTGAGGGATGCCCTCTGCCGAGGGGACAGCGTGCTAAGCTGGCCGCCGGCCGCCCCCTGCCCCACGCCCCCCCCCAGGGCCTGCCCCCTACCTGCGGCGCTGAGCTGTTTATAGAACCGGTACTCCAGGTGCAGCTGCGGGGCCCGGGACTTGATGGGCTCCTGGGGAAGACGCAGACGTTACCCCTCCGAGCCTGCCCGGCGCCCTGGGACCCTGTGGGCCTGGCTGGGAGGATAGGAAGGAAGGACTCACCAGTTTGATAGCCACGTACTCATTTGTATAGAGGTTCTTTCCTGTGGGGACAAAAGGCCATCAGGGCAGCAGGGCCCTGTCTTCCCCACCCTGCACGTAGCCCCCACGTACCCCGAAGCCGGTCCATACCCCATCTCCGTTCACTGGAGGCCCCAGGGAGGCAGCCCACTAAGTCTGACCAGCACCCCGGGGCAGGAACCTTGCACCCCAGGCTGGTTAGGGCAGAGTCCCTCCCCCCACACGAGGCCCTTCAGGCTTCCATCCCGAAAACGGCAAAATACACTGCAGCACGTCCTAACAGTTTGGGCTTTCACTGCTAGATGGAGAGGAAGGTGTTCACTAAGCCTGCCCTAGCCCTGAACCCCGTGAGGGCAGTGTGGCCCCAACTTGGTGACTTAGTCTAGCTCTAGGCAGCAGCCGGCCCCAGGTGGGCATCTACTGCATGAGCAGACTCCCACCCCACCCGCTCAGGCAGAGCTGCCCCCGCACCCTGGTGTGTTCACCTCGCAGCACACACACCACTGCCCACCTACACTTGTCAGTGTGGAAGGCCACCCCCAGCAGCCCTGTCCTGCCCTGGCTCTGACCACAAGGCCACATGCTATGTCAACGACTGGGGCCCTCCTCCTGCCCTGGTCCTGCTGCAGGAGAGGCCTCCAGGTGCCCTCCACCCACTGTAGCTGAGTGGCCTAGGTGCTTGAGACGGCAGCCATGGGAACCCTGATGAGGCGGACAGCACACAGGCCAGGTGGCCGAGACCACAGATGGCCACACTCTGCCCTGTGCCTGCAGCCAGTTGCAGTGGCTCCCCTGGCTTTGGTGTGTTCCTGGGCCATGCTGGCCACTCAGTCTTACCAGTGTCTCCAGTGGCCTGCAAGTAGGAGCCTGCAGGATGTGGGCGTGAGCGACTGCCTGCGGTGAGCAAGCTCCTCTCCACTACTGCACACTGCCCCTGGCCTGGCCCCCAGTTCTGGGAACAAATGGGGCTGTCCATCAGCATAGTTCCAAACATGCCAAAAATGTGAGGAGAGCACAGGAGGTGGCCTGCAGGCCCACACCACCCAGGGGGAACTCCAGGAAGAAGGGCTCTCAAGAGGCAGCCGGGCGGCACCAGGCCGCAAGTTCGGGGTGTGCACCTGCTTTCTGCTATGGTCACCCACTTGGGGTACGCATGCGTGGTTTCCAATTTGGGACCCTCCTGAGAACTGGTGCTGCCAGGGATGCTGGTGCCCTGGCCTCTGCGGGGCCAGGTGGAGTGTGCCGCCGCACCCTGCCCCTTCACTGAGCGCCGGCCATTCTGGGTGCCCTCTGTTCAGGTCTTCTGCCCGTTTTCCACTGGGTGGTTTTCCTTCGTATCATACGGTTGTGGTTCCTGTGATTCTTGTTTCTCGGTTCTGGAGACTGAACACAGGGTGCTCTACCACTGAGCCACATCCCCAGACTTCCTTATTTTCTATATTGGGGCAGGGTCTTGCTGGGATGGCAGGCTGGCCAGGAACCTGTGATACCTTAGCCTCCCAGGTGCGGGGAGGACAGGAGGGCCTCTGCATCTGGCAGCCAGTGCTGTCAACGGGTGCTCTGCAAACACCTCCGCACAGTCCCGTGTGCCTGCTTAGCGAACGCTCTTAGTGTGGCCTCGGCCTAGCTCCGAGGACATCTCTTAGTTGTCGGCGGTGATTTTCTTCCTGTACTCTGTTGGAGAAGCCTTCAGCTGCCCTGGCCTTCTGACTGCATATCTGGGAGCATGAGAGTCCAAGGGCTTGGAGGTGGCCTGGGCTTGAGAGGGGCATGTACACAGGCGTCTGAGGTCTCTGTGGACCTGTGACCCCAAGGGGTTCTCTGAGGGCTCCTGTGAGGGCCCTTGCCACACATGCAGAAGGTAGGAGACTTCCAGGCCTGACACAGTACAGCTCCCAGGGACCCTGGGCCAAAGAAAGACTCCAAGGCCACACAGGCTGAAGGACCCTAGGGCGTAACCACTGAAAACAGACACCTCCCCAGACTCCCTGAGGCCCTGCTGAGACTCCAAGTCCAGAGCCCACGCCCCATGGAGGGGGGATAGTAGACCCGATGTGTCACCAGTTCCAAGCCTGCAAGACAGCAGAGTCCCTGGGCCAGCTTCAGGGGCCAGACCAGCACCACAGAGCTTCGCCAAACCCCTGAACAGGAGGAGCGAGACGCAGCCAGAGCAGGGAAGGAGTGAAAGGTGCCACAGATGGGGGCCCTTAACAGCGCTGTGGCTTGGACATGCCCCTGGAACCCCAGACTCAAGTGCGGAGACTTGACCTCCAGGGCAGGGGGTGTGGCAGGGGTGTTTGGCCCACAGCACCCTCAGGGAGGGCGGTCTCCTGGAGGGTGACTGCAGCCTCACTCAGGCCCGGCCTCCTGGCCATGGAAGGACAGGAGGCCCCTGCCCGTGGATCTCCAGCCTGCAGAACAGTCAGCCCATAGGCTGCTGTTCATTATGAAAGGCCTCATCTGTGCCGAAGCCCAGAGCAGATTAAATTAGCCACTGCAAACAAGTTCAAGGAGGCTGGGCGCCGTGACCTCGCCTGTCATCCCAGGACTTGGGGCTGAGGCAGGAGGATCACAAGTTCCAGGCCAGCCTGGGCAACTTAGGGAGGTCTCTCTCAGAATAAAACTAAAACGGTGGGGGACATGGCTCAGAGGCAGGGCCTGAGTTCAATCCCCAGGACCAAAAAAAAAAGTAAATAGCATTTTTTGGTTCTTTGCTCATGCTAAGCCCATGCACTCAAAATTCTAAAACAACTGACACCTCAAAACAGTGGGAGACGGTGTGTGGAGGACCCAGCGTGGAGGGTATGTGTGGTGCTGCCTGTGGGAACCCCACGTGGGAGACCGCTGTGCAGACAGACCTCAGGGTTTCTCCTCAGCACACAGACTCCACGACCAGGGAGGACAGCTGCGCCCCCCACAGCCCAGCCAGGGAAATGCCACACATCTCTAGCAGGAAGTGAAGGATGCAACGTGCTGCTCTCCGCAAGCAGGTGGCCTTACAGCTGTGCCGAGTGACGGCTGAGAAACAGCCCCGTCACTCAGACACACACTGCACCACAGGGCAACGCCTGTCACCCAGCTGCTCAGGAGGCCGAGGCAGGAGGACGGCAAGTTCCAGGCCAACCTGGCAACATGGAGAGGCCCTGTCTCAAAAATAATAACAATAAAAGTAAGGGCTGGGGCTGAGTGGCAGAGCGCTTGCCTAGCACACACGAGGCCGAGGCCACAGGTTCCGTCCCCAGCATCACATAAATAAACAAGTAAAATAAAGGTATTATGTCCATCTACAATAAAAGTTAAAAACAAAACAAAAAAGTGAAATACGCTGAACCAAAGAAGGGGGACAGGAAGAGCCCACACTGCGATTTTAAAACCTCGGTAAAAGCCCCCCAGCCCCCACGGCACCAGCTTCTGGGCTCCCGGCCCAAGGACAGAACCCATACAGCCACCTGGGTCCCCAGAGGTGTACGAGGCCTGCCTGGGCTGTCCAGGGACTGCTGTGTGTGCGTGCGTGTGCGCACGTAAGCACACTAGTGTGCGTCTGTGTGAGGGTGTGCGCATGCTCACAACCTGGGTCTCGCAGTCCCGGCAGGTGGGACTCCACCTGCTACTGAAGACCCGGAGCCTGGCTACAGGCAGGAGGCTCCGGGGCCAGTGGCTTCTGCAGAGCTGAGCAGGCTGGGGGCAGGGCCACTGCCTGCTGAAGAGAATGCAGGGAAACACTGCCCTCCTCAGGAGGGAGGAGGGGCTGCCCAAGTGCACAAAGCAGATTATGGACCTGGCGTTGGCCACGCACTCGTCAGCCTGACCAATTCCCTGAAGCCCACATCAGTCCCTCGAGAGGGGAACTGTCATCCACCCCATCAACAGGTGAGGAACCTGAGGTGGAAGAGGGGATCACAGACCCCAACACACAGGAAAGGAACAAGTGGGGCCTGGGGTGTCCACCACCCGTGTCCTGGGCCCCAGGCAGTTGCCACAAAGGTGCTGTTAAGTCAATGTCCACTGCTCTGACAACCTGGGGCTCTGATGAGGCCCAACCTGCATGGGGCGCACACAAGGCAGGTCCTGCTGCCACCCTGTCCCTTATCTGTCCTTCTGCCTGTCCCTGCTCCCTCTAAGTGACCCTGATTCCTGTTATGACAGGCACCAGTGTGGGGTGGAGCTCCCAAGGGTGTGGTGCTGACCACCAGGGCCCCCAAGGGAAGGCACCCCCGGCCAGGGAGGGGCCTGACCCTGGGCTCCCAGTGCGTGCCCCTGGGACCCGGCTATGCCAGGTGTGGTCTGAACGTGGAACAGCACGGGCCCTGATGCGGAGCGTGGCCAGAGCTCTCCTGAGCTGACAACCGAGCAAAGCTGGGCCTGCAGAGTGGAGAGGCCTTTGTCCAGCTCAGAACCTGGGCTGGGGTGGGGTGGGGAGTGACCACTTTAAAGAGCATGGCTTGGCCTCTTTCCCCACTGTTGTGAGCCCCTCCCTGTGACAACACCGCCCCCAGGAGGGAGAGTGGGGCCCAGGCTCTCTGCTCCCCAAGCCCACTCCAAGGTGAGAGGCTGACCCCCATTTATGATCCACAGCAGCTCAAGGGGTGTTGGCCACCACAGCGGCGGCCTTGCCGCACCGACCTCCCCAGCTGCTGCCGGTGGGCGGCTCACCTAGGCGAAGCTCCCCGAAGTTGCCACAGCCTATCTTCTTGCCAACGCGGAAGTTGGGGCCCACCATCAGGACCCCTGAACTGGTCCCCGAGCTCCGGACGCCATGGCTGCTCCGGCCCGCGCCGGTCTTGGACATTCTCCGGCCCTCCTCCAGCTCCCCTTTCCCTCCTTTCTTGTCAAGATCCATCAGTTTGTGGTACCCTGGCCTCTCCACGGTGACTCTGCTGCGTGCAAAGCCCGTCTGTGAACCAGAGGTCGCCGCTCTGTGTTAACACGCCATGGGCCCAGCGGCGTGGGCGGGGCGGCCTGCGGCTCCCGGCAGGGGAGCTAGTGAGAGGAGGGCGCTCTGGTGGGCCCTGCCGTGGTGCTCATCTCCCGGGCCTCAGGGTCACGTAGGGGGAGAGGCATGCTGCTGGCAAGGTCCCTCAGCCTCAGATCTCGTGGCGCCCAGCTGCAGAGAGAGAGAGAGGCACAGGTCAGGAAGCCAGGAGGACCAGGGCAGAGCACTGTGGGCCCCCCAGGGGGGTGGAGGCAGTGAGCAGGGTGACTGAGGACAGCACCCAGAGGGGCCCCAAGTAGCCGGTGTTCTGGAAGGATCTCTGGAGGTCTGAGCGGGACAAGTGACATCCCTGCCCCAGACCCTGGGAAGCCCTTGTATGCACCCACCCCCCACCAGAGACACTGATGATGGGGTCAGAGGCACAGCGAAGTTGGTGGGATGGCCAAGAGGAAGCCTGGGAGTTGTCAGGGGACACTGGAGTGGCTGGGCCCATGCTGAAAACCACGTGGCCAGGAGGCTGCTGGCAATCGGCAGGTGGCCGAGGCCCTGGAAGGCTGAGCCAGAAAGAGGTCTCCAAACCAGAGCAGAGGGCCAACCCTCCAGCTCATCTCTTGGCCAGGGAGGAAGAGGGCACACGACAGAGGACAGCAGACAGCATCCTGGGCAGAGGCGTGGCCTCACTGCCCGCCCTCAGCTGGCATCCCTGGATGGCTGGCGACACTGGGGAGGAGGGGCAGGCCTGGGAAGGGCAATGGCTTCCCGCGGCCCAGGTAGCCCTGGCAGCTGCACTACTCCGGTGAGAAGGCAGCGGGCGCTCGGCTGGCCAGGGTGGGGAGGGTGCGCCGCTCGGACACCTGGTCCTCCAGAACTGCCCTTTGACCTCCCCTTTCACTCAGGCCTAGCACCAAGGCCTTCCTAGCCAGGTTCCAGGTCTTGCCCTCCTATCCAGCATCCAGCTGCTCCCAGCAGGGGCCTCCGACCTCCCCACAGCACAGGGAGGCCCGAGTCGGATCCCTAGCGCTAACACCACCACTCACCAAACTCGTCCGCTGCTAGAGGCCGCACCCCTGAAGCAGGCTGGTGCCTGCCTGCTCTGGCCTCTGTGCCCGGGCTCACTCCTGCCTGGTTGTCCTGTCTCTGGCCCACTTGGCAGTTAGGGTCAGGCCGAGATGCAGGGCTGAGGGGGGCTGGAGGAGGACCGGTGGGCACTAGGGCACTTGCAGGCCATACCTGCACAGGCGCACTCACTCAGCCCTGACACAGCTGGCCTGCACATGAGGGGGGGCCCACCCGGGGGGGCCCACCCAGGACCCAAGGACACTCCTGGGGGTCAGCAGGTGATAAAGGGGCCACGCAGGTAGGTGTGACAAGGCTAATAACCCTGCCGCCCCACCTTGGGGCCTCACAGCCCCCGGAGCTGTCCACATTAAAGGGCCTGCCAGCTGCAGGT